ACTTTATCTCAAATTTGTATTTTAAGAGCAATTACATAAAAAAATAATAAATATTGGCATTTTTCCAATTAATGAACCCATACCCACTGACAATCCTAGATAGCATTTACATATACATGAATGTGACCATATGGATGATTTGTGTTCACATGTAATAGGTGTAAGCACCAATTCAGACAGATCAACATTATGTAATGTAAATTTGAAATTCAAAGATGTCAAAAGAGTACTCACGTGCATCTACTGTATCAGCAGCAGAATCTGTGACCAAGTGTTCTGTACTGCACACACCTTGTCTCATTGGATCCACTTTGTTTAATTCATCAACACAAGCCTCTATCATTGCATTCATCATGACAGCCTGAAACATCACAACATTATTTGCATAAAATCCTTTACCAAAATGATCACACTGTATAAACTCAATTAATTTGCAGCCTCACATATCCAGTTCATTTTTACAAGATAAATATTAAATGTACATTTTAACTTTTTATGCATAGTACAGCACAGAAATAGGAAACTCGCAGTTTGTCGGCTATATATTGCTTAACTGAGAAATGTAAAATCAATCAATTATCAAGATAACAAAAAATTTTAGTTATCACCATTAAATGTAGTGTTCATGTATGCATCATGTAGTGTTCGTGCATAGATCATGTATTGTTCATGCATAGATCATGTATTGTTCATGCATAGATCATGTAGTGTTCATGTATTCATCATATAGTGTTCATGCATACATCATGTAGTGTTCATGCATACATCATGTAGTGTTCATGCATACATCATGTAGTGTTCATGCATACATCATGTAGTGTTCATGCATACATCATGTAGTGTTCATGTATACATCATGTAGTGTTCATGCATACATCATGTAGTGTTCATGCATACATCATGTAGTGTTCATGTATACATCATGTAGTGTTCATGCATACATCATGTAGTGTTCATGTATTCATCATATAGTGTTCATGCATACATCATGTAGTGTTCATGCATACATCATGTAGTGTTCATGCATATATCATGTAGTGTTCATGCATACATCATGTAGTGTTCATGCATACATCATGTAGTGTTCATGCATACATCATGTAGTGTTCATGTATACATCATGTAGTGTTCATGCATACATCATGTAGTGTTCATGTATACATCATGTAGTGTTCATGCATACATCATGTAGTGTTCATGTATACATCATGTAGTGTTCATGTATACATCATGTAGTGTTCATGCATACATTATGTAGTGTTCATGCATACATCATGTAGTGTTCATGCATACATCATGTAGTGTCCATGTGTACATTCAGGTCAACCATTTTTGTATAGCCTGAAATATCACAACATCATAGCCAAAAAAAATATTATTATTATACAATAAATTATTACCTGTTTGGAAAACACTTGAAGTAGTTTGCTGACTTTGTTACCAAGCTCTTCAATATCAAACTGTAACCAGAGACAGGGTAAACATGTCATAGCTCGATCATGTGGTTCTGTGTATTCCCAGGACAAATCATCATAACCCAAAGATAATAGTACCTCCTACAGAGAAATAAACAATGCAATCTTAGAAAATTGAATAATAATTATCCTAAAAATGAGCAAATAAGAGACAATTTAAACAGTTTGATGTAAATTTTGTAACATTTTATCATCAATTAAGAGTTCAACAGTTTTGTCAGTAATGCCCTAGTTAGTATTTTTCATGCCAAATATGAAGTTCAAGGTATACAGTACAGCTCAAAACTTGTTTACCAAAATGCTAGCATGGCGTTAACGCATATGCACGCACGGGTAATGTGCCAGTATGTTAGCATTTTCAGTGTTAATTGCCTGCAGTTGATTCTATTGTTCTTGTTCAAATATTGTTCATAAAAAACAAGTACAACAACCGTAGTTGACATTATTCTTTGTAAAATAAAAAAGAATTTTGTGTAAACTATTAAAGTATCCACCTACAAATCCTGTAGAAGGATTGAAGTGGCACGGTGTCTGGTTGTGCTATTGAAGTGGCACAGTGTCTGGTTGTGCTATTGAAGTGGCAGTGTCTGGTTGTGCTATTGAAGTGGCAGTGTCTGGTTGTGCTATTGAAGTGGCACAGTGTCTGGTTGTGCTATTGAAGTGGCACAGTGTCTGGTTGTGCTATTGAAGTGGCACGGTGTCTGGTTGTGCTATTGAAGTGGCACGGTGTCTGGTTGTGCTATTGAAGTGGCACGGTGTCTGGTTTTGCTATTGAAGTGGCACAGTGTCTGGTTGTGCTATTGAAGTGGCACGGTGTCTGGTTTTGCTATTGAAGTGGCACGGTGTCTGGTTGTGCTATTGAAGTGGCACGGTGTCTGGTTGTGCTATTGAAGTGGCACGGTGTCTGGTTTTGCTATTGAAGTGGCACAGTGTCTGGTTTTGCTATTGAAGTAACGATGTGCTAATGTTTTAAATTATATACATTTTTTTTATTTTACAATGAACACAAGAACACGGGCCAAATGAAACAAGAAATAATAATAAAAAACACGTTATACCGGTAGCTTGCATTTTGATAACACATGCAATGGTATAAAACGGTTGATCATGTTCCGATGTAAATATCATTATCAGCATTTCTCAGCCCTGAGTCAGTGTCAGCATCTTCATTTAAAATTTGGAGAAATCAAGAATATGTAATCAATTGGCCCTTTGCATTAATACATTCAAGGAATATTTTTATGAAAATGTTATGCAGAGGCGACGTATTATTGTACAGTACTAGAACAGAAATGTCAAGGGGATAGTCGAGGCATGATGTTTTTTTGTTTTACTAGTACTTGTTTCAATCCACCAAGATCGTTTGTGATCATGAATCTGCCGCCAAGTGACTGTGAATCAAATGGTTGTCTCAGCGACGACCCAAGACCACGGCAGCCATCCAATGAAAATTGTGAATTTACAAAGTTGTTGACAATTTGTATCAATTTAACAGACTTCAAAATAATTCACGGTAGCACATAGCGCTGATTGATATTTATTTCATGCGCTGACTTTTGCTCAAAAGCTGAACTGTAAACCAACAAAATGGCTGACATGCCGAAGGTTCGGAATATGTCGAGGCGAATCATTTTTTTTAACGTACAATACGAGAAAGTGACATGAAAAATAAGGTAAGGCTAGTGTCGTTTTCTTTGTTTACAGCAACGGGCATTTTACACGAATGTGTAATTTATAATCTGTTGAATATGTCAACGATAGATCAACCAATCGACCTGAAAATATTCACAGTGAAAAGTACTGCACAGTTTCAGATGCCCAATAAATTAACAATCTTGTACTTATTTGTTCTCTTCTATGTTTTATGCCTGCAGTTATTACGGGCAAAATGTTATGCCCACCCTCGTGTCCTCAGTTATGTGTCACAGAGTTCAGCCACCGGTACACTAGTAACTTCATTTTGAAACCCACTTTTGTACCAGACAGACGTTATGAAATCGTCATTTGCAAATAATCAAACCACACATTGAATTGTCAACAATTCACTATTTTCTGTCAAAAAAATCAGCATTGTTGATTCACTCATTGTAACTGTATCGACATTAATTATTATTTACAAGCAGTGCTGGATAATTTCCATGGAAGCACAACACTCACTTATGTACGCTTACTAAAAATGACAGACATATATTTTGCGTTGTTTGTTTCTCTTGGTCCACAATCAATGCAAATATTCAACATATAATGAAAATTAGAACAAGGAAATTTACACACGGCCCAACTTTGGTTTTCTATTAAGTCAGTTGACGAAACATACATTTATTTTCCCGAACTCACACCAAAATCATGCAATGCCGGGAATCGGTGGTTATCCAAATAACTTTATCGCAACTAGAAATAATACCACCCGAACAGATACTAAAATTAATACTATGATTGCAAGTACAATTAACAAATAACTGAAGCATGACATTTTGAAGTTTATTTTCAAAATGTAACTTGTTACTGAACCATTTAGGCGTCCTTGTTTTGAAATATTTTTGTCCCACACCTTCAGTTCCATTGTTCTCATCATTTGCATGCAAACAAAGCTGCTTGCGTTAACGCAAGGCTATTGTGTGTAAACGTCATGTTGGCATGGCAATCTTAACATAGCGTTAACGTGTGTTAGGGCGTTGCGTAAGCAAGTTTTGAGCTGTACTGTAGCTATCATAATAGCACCTTATAAATTAGAACCTTGAAATTACGAAGAAAGGCCTCTTCAACAAAGTAGTCACACATGTGCCACCCACGAATAACATAGTTGAACTTAATTCAAGATTTTTATTAGAAGAACTATCCAAGCCTTGTCTGTATATTTGTGGAGTGAATAATGTTTTACATTTTGCTGAGCATTAGAGCTAATCTATTTGCAATCTGGGGGCTGGATGAATTTTAAGCATAAAAATGGCCACCGTTTGGCCAATCCACAAGTCCTTGTTTTTGGCCTTTTTTATTTATTCATTTTTGTTTTCCAGTTTTATTTGTTCTGCCTACATTTCAATGTTTCAGTCTACAAGTCTACATCAAAATACACACATGCAGCAAACAGTTTTTGTTTTTGAACAATTCACAAATGTTTTATTGTTGAAAACTGTGATCATATTCCAAGTGTGGAGTACAACTTTCCCCTTACTTTTAAAATTAGATATTTGTTTTAGCACTACCACCCTGGATTGGAACAATTTCCAGATTGAAGAGATGTGTGAATGTATGGTCACTATAGCAATGGTGACAACACACAACAAACAATGTGACAACACACAACAAGCGATGGAAAAAAAACACACCTAAAACTCATAAAATTTGCAGTTTAACTTTGTTATTGTACCCCTATTCATACGTCAACAGGAATTAACGGACATTTTTGCAAAAATGGCCAAGGACATTTACCATACTTTGATCCCAAAAGAAACCATTAATTTTTGTTAACGTACACATATGGGTTCTTTAACTGTCATTAAGTACCATAGGCTTTATAATGTCAATTATTTTAAAGACAGATTTCTTGCTAATACTTACACATTTAGAAATATCAATAATAAACACTCCGTCACGATTAATTGCAATATAAATTAGTCTATCTGGATTCTCTCGGACTTTTCTACTCCCATGGCAGGGTTTCTCAATTTGGCCAGTAAAAAACACACACCTAGAAACAAATACTTAGTCAAGAATAGTGTATGACAAAGTGAATCACTGATTTATATGTACAGTAAACTAAAAGTATCTGTTGATATTATCAGGTATATGTATATGTAGTAGTACCTACCCATAGTATGGTAAAGACCAACAGAAATCTAGAAGCATCTGTCGATATTGATTATTGTTGCAATTATCTTGTAACGATTTATATTGTTCAACTATTCTGTATTCAGCTGTATTCTTAGAAGATACCGGTAGTGACCATGACGTCTTACACAGATGGGCAGGGTAGTAGCTTGAAAGCTTATTCCTGTTGAATTAATGTGTTTCAGTGAATATGATAACACTTCTAAAACCATGCATAATATTGGCTTTTTCTTTACATTTATTTATACTAAGTATTGTAACAATACTAACTACACACACTAGAGCAACTATACTGAGTACTGACTACACACACTAGAGCAACTATACTGAGTACTGACTACACACACTAGAGCAACTATACTGAGTACTAACTACACACACTAGAGCAACTATACTGAGTACTGACTACACACACTAGAGCAACTATACTGAGTACTGACTACACACACTAGAGCAACTATACTGAGTACTGACCACATACACTAGAGCAACTATACTGAGTACTGACTACACACACTAGAGAAACTATACCGAGTACTGACTACACACACTAGAGCAACTATACTGATTACTGACTACACACACTAGAGCAACTATACTGAGTGCTAACTACACACACTAGAGCAACTATACTGAGTACTAACTACACACACTAGAGCAACTATACTGAGTACTGACTACACACACTAGAGCAACTATACTGAGTACTACTACACACACTAGAGCAACTATACTGAGTACTGACTACACACAAAATCAGTTAGTTATTAATTTAATTCATTATAAATTCTTTAAGTCATTATCGCAATTGTTACTTACTTGAAAAATGCTGGTGTATGTCTCCTAGAAAGGAATGGACCATGATCAATCCTGGCAAGAATAGCAGCTAATCTATCATAATCTTCACTACTACATGGATAATATCCATCTAATAAATTATCTTTAGCTTCATCAAATAATCTTAGTAAAATTTTATTGTCGGTTATCTGTAAGAAAAAAAAAAGAGCTCAGAAAGTACTCCTATGTGCTGAGGGTATTAGAAGCATGAAGGAATACAGATACAAATAAGGAATACTGTATTTACTGTATTAAAAGCACATCTCCAATACACATAACAAAAAAAAAACATATCAATTGCATACAAAATCACTGAAATATGTCTTTTGACCACAGACTTGACATTGTCATTTACATGTAAGCACATGTTTCAAATAAAGAAAATACAGCATTTAAAAATATAATGCAAAACTGATCAGGGTGGTTATGATATATGATATGATATAACAATTTCAAATATTTAATGAAATCATGACCATATATGATGATTTCAATTTTGATATTTTGGTCATACCAGATTCTGCCGTAAATTTGCGCTGGGTCGTTGAACGACAGTTTTTTAAGATGTTATTTTAATCTTTTCTGATGCCTAAAAGTTTCACTGTAGTCATTGATGCCTATTCGACAATGAGCTGTTATCACGGTAAACAATGTTAAATTATTCTTCAAATGCTCAGTTTTCTCAGAAAACAACTAATTTTTTTGATTTAAAAACAAATCATGCCGCTTTCCCATCAAAATTCAAGCCAAAACATCACACAACAACATTGGCAAATCCCTTCTGTGCTGTGTTCAATAACATTAACATATTTAAATGAGCTATGGTAATTTGAACACGTTGGCATCATCCATCGTTTTCATTGGTTAATTAGCGATTTGACGTGTCAGGTCAAAGAACACCGTCCCAGGTCAACCCATGACGGATATTCATTTCCACAGCATCGAGCCTTTAAAGTGTGACCGGAATCATTCGTTTATGATGATATAAGTTGAAATATATTTGCATTTTCATAACAACTTTATTTTTTGCACATTATTATAATCATTACTCGGCAATAATCAACAACTGTGAAACGCAGCATGACCAGATTTTTATTTGAAACTTTTTTTAGAATATACTTTCGTCACTATTAAAATAATTGTATTTGGTGCATAAGGTTCGTTAATGTGATTTTTCTTGGAGAAAGATGCGCTGGGTCTTACACAAGGGAGTAAAACAATGTACCCAATATTTATGGGTACAATATAGATTGCAGCATACAACTGTATGTCTTTCAAATTCTCCAGGATGACAAACATAACTACAACTAAACCAATGACTAACTTGCAGCATTTTTTCCCTGATACTTACTCTCTTTTCTCTACTTTTTGGAAAGAAAGCATTTCGTTGGTAAATTAAAACTGGTTCGTCTGAAATATGAAACAGAAAAAATGTTACGAGTATTTTCGATAACATATATGGTAGCAGTACAATAAATATGAGACACGTACAGTTATTTCATTAAAGTTAATTTTCGCTCCCCTCAAAAGCTAACCACAAAAAAGTGCAATTTTGTATATATATTGTGTAAAAGAATTTCTATAAGATATTTTTCATATTGCTATGAAATATTTGAGTACATGTGGTTAAGTTGTACCTCATACTTTTGCTTAGCTACTAACAAAAAAGTGATTTGCATAAATGTATTGCAGCAAAGTATGTGTTTGAATCTGTGAAACAAAACAATGTGTATCAAGTTCCCATGCCACTCATGCATGAATCAAGTTCAAAATCAGCATATGAGATGCACACAACACAAATGAGATAATGGGGATTTGATAAGCTATATAATAATTGTGAATTTCCAGTTACAAAACATACTGCTCTAATATGAAATGCACACTATGAAAGCAGGCTGATCAATGTCAAAGTTGATAGATATAAGTAAAATATATTATTATACATCTGTCCCCATAGAGCCATAAGTTACAGCGTGCCGTAATTTTGAAGTATTTTAAAAGGTATTTGCATCCTACCATATTAGGAAATGCAAATTCCAAATATGGAATGATTATGCATGTAAACGTTCTCTAATAATAAAAACAAACATGGGTGCAACACAAGGAAGTTCGCTGATTCTGTTCTAAACTTTTTGGATTGTGACATTTACCTGATGTATCATTGGGAGGAAAAGATGTATAACAATAAGGTTGTTATGAGGATACTGCAAAGTATGCATTCAGAAATACACCATCGCATCCTGCAGTACTGTTTTTGTGCATACTTTTCGGTATCCTCGTAATAACCTCATATAATCAAAAAAGAATAAATATGATTGTATATCAATAGGAAACTTATTAAGCTCGGCGTTCAATCCAAAACTCGTCATATATGTGGATTATTTCCAAGTACGTATGAAGCAGTTTCATTGAAATGCTTTGTACACACTATAGACATACATACATGACACAGTCCATGCAAAAATGACATGAATAATGGAGTATGATATATACCTCTGCTTTTCTGGTCTTCTGTGGCCGACGTAAAACGATCCAAAAGATCTGGCCACTGCCTGTAAAGCTTGAATGGCACATGGTGGGGCTTCAATTGTAATTCTAAAATAAAATTAACAAATTATTTGAATCAATATAAAACAAGAATCATGGATTCGATGTTAACAAAACTGCACATATGTTTGATCTGACATATGTGTGAAGTTTGAATTTGATCAGCCCCAGGCACAACGGAGATGTGGATTTGGGATTACATTCAACTAATCGCTGCCAAATTAGTTAGTTACACACATGGACCTCCATGCTACAACCCCACCCACCCACCCACCCACCGCCACCAAGTGTATTGAACCAATCAAAACTGTTTTCTACACATACTTAGGGTGTATAGGTTCACAGATATTTTACATTCAAAACTCACAATATAGTGTTCAGAACAGAAAAAAAGCGAAATATAAATATTATTGGTATTTTAACTGCATACATATACAAACTCTAAAAGGATGAGTGGTTTTAGACACACATCTTAAAATCGCCTTCCAACATTAAAGTGCCTGTGAAATGGCTGCTATTTTCACGCCTAAAATTATCAATTGATACATAAATATTATTAATTTTTATGTTTCTAAGCATGAATTATTTTTTTTAAGTGAAAAAATGTGTTTAAACTCAGTCTACGGCAACTTTATTTTGTGTATTTTAAACGAGGCTC